ACGCCTGAGGGCTCCCAGTATGTGAGAGGGGGCAGGCTGGGCTGAGGGACACCCCCCCCCACACACACACACAGTGCACGAATTTCGTGCACCAGGCCCCTAGTTTATTTTAATAAAAAACTTGCGGAGTAGCTCATGTTGGCAAGTCTTCAGAGGGGAAGCCTAAGGAAGGTTGACTAGTAGGGACTATGCTGAACTACTGATAAACTAAAGTTCTAAAAAACTTTGCTGGCAATATCTTGGGCATCCAGGAGATATCTCAAAATTCAAACTTTCAGTAAATACTTACCAAAATACCATGTGCAGGATAAAATGACAGGAAGATGAACCTGATACAAACCATTCTATTTAGGCATAAACATAGTAGTGAAACTAAGAACATAAGCAGCTCTTATATATAAAATAGAGGTTGTCATAGAAGAGGTACTAAGAGTGCTAAGTAAGCTCAGAGAAAATTACTTCCTGCTGGGGAGAATCTGGAAACACAGCTCCAAGGATAACCAGGACATGAATACAGAATCACAAAATGTAGGCGCTTCAGTGATTAACCTAGGAAGAATTGAGTAGTTCATTTTGGCTGGGATATGAGTACGAAGGAAGTAGAAACTAAGAAGGTAGGTTTGCACCCTTGTTGACTGGCTGGGTAAAACCGATTTTCAATTACCTGAAAGTTCTCCTGGTCTTTTTCCTTTGCAGCTTTAGGCATCCAACCCGGTATCACCAAAATGACTGACAATTTTTTATTCAAGCCTAGTGAAGGAACTACATGAGATAGTGAGTGACAACTCTTGTAAAGCGTCACATATACTAATACTGTGTATGTATATATATATATTTCGCAAGCATTAAATTCTTTAATAAACCGCAGACATGCAGAATTCGGACGTAAAACCTTCATCCAGAACTGCAATCAGTGCTTACAGATCCTCAAGAGAGGAGAAAAAAAGAAAAGGGAGAAAATTCAAAATATGAAGGAGGCGGGGAAATAAGACTTAGAAGTGTTGCTGCCATGGTGGGGAACCGTCCTTTTCCTTTTTAGCTAGGAATGGAAAATGATTTCATCAAGCTCCCTAATTCTTCGTCCTCCAAAGGTCAGGGGGTGAAAGTACTTAACAGGAACTTGCGGAGGCGTGGTCAGGAGCTGGGAGCGGCAGTTAAGGGCTCCGCCTGAGGCCCGCGCTCTGGCCCCTCGGGAGAGGGCTGGCTGCAGCCGGGCGAGGGGGCTGGTGGAGCGGCCTCGCCCCACGGAGAGGCGGAGGGAGGGCGGGCCGCCGCCTGGCCAGCCCGGAAAGAAAAGCTGCTTCCAGCGGAAGCAACTCAAGGCCCGGCTCGCCTGCGCGGCGCTCTGTCTCTCAGGGACCCTCGGGCCCAGGCCTGCATCACAGGGGGAGGCTCAGGGACACCCACATCACTTCACGACTCCAGTCGGAATTGGAACTCTCGGGGCCCCGGGGGCGCACGCGGTTCCCACTCTTCCGCCTTGACCCCTTTCAGAAGTGCCAAACGCAACTTCCGGGCAGGACAGGGATTTTCGGAGCCCTGAACTCTTGTCCACATAGGTAAGTGACCAGACGTCCCAGCAAACTAAGGGCCAGGACACCTGCTCCCTCCTCGCCCCCATCCCAGGCAGCTAGGAATGTTCATTAGGAATGTTAATGAACTTGCCTAACATGGGATGTCTGGTCACCTTTGGTCCCATTATGGGTGTACTTACAGATGCTTCTCTTCCCAGACCGCTTAGCTGTTGCCACGGCAACGGAGGGATAGGACGAAGGGAAAACTACGTCACAGAGGAGACGGGAGGCCCGTAAACTCCCGTTGCCATGATTAGTTATGGCTGCCTGGGCTTCAACGGTACCTTCCTATTGGGTGTTGTCTCTACCCCGCTGGAGGCTTACTTTGTGACCCGGCGAGCTCGCGGCGCCCAGCGGGCGGGAGAGGGCGTGGAGGAGCAGAGGAGAGGGAAAGGGCGGGGCGAGGAAAGCTGAAGCCGAAGGCTGCTTCTGATTGGGTAGCGTCGCTGGCGCTAGCGCCTCGTTCTGATTGGGCAGCGTCGGTTTCCCTTGCCCCGCCCGACTTT